ATTCGGAGGGGGCGGTTCTGCAGCCTCAGTCTGCCTGGTGTCCGGAACTCGTAATGTGTTTTTATAATGTGTTTTGTATTCTCAACTGGACTAGTGTGGAGTGTATTCACGTTGGGTAAATTCAGCTTACAAGCAAAGTGATGTATAGTGATTAAATGTACAAAATTTTTAAAATTTAAAATTTAATAAAAGCAGTAATCTGCTAAAAAAAAAGAAAAAGAAAGAAAGAAAAGAAATCTCATGCTGGGTACGTGTGCACCTGCACCCAGGATCCTGAGAGGAGAATGGAGGAGAAGGAATTGTGGCATGGCCATCCCCACTGGGAGGTGATTTTTCTCTTTCTGTCTCTCTTTCTCTCTCTGTCTTTCTGGTGAGTGCATGCACCCTATAGCAAAAATCTCTTTTAACAAAAAACTCTTTTTGTAAAAAAAAAAAAAAAAAAAAAAAGTTACAGGCTTCCTTTTGGAGTATTTTGGTTTACCAAAAAACTGAGTGGAAAATACAGAGTTCTTATAAACCCCATAATCACCCCCCCACACATACTTAGTTTCCCCTAATATTGAGATCTTGATTTAGTGTGCAATATTTGTTAGCACTAATGAGCCAATATTGCTATATTATTTTTATTTAAGTCAACAGTTTATATAAAGGTTCATTTTTGTATTGTACAGTCTATGGATTTTGATGAATGTATCTACTGTTATAGGTTATAGTATCATCTAGAAGTTTTTCAATCCCTTCTGCTTAATCTATTCATCCCTTTCATCTTCCCACTGAACTTTCAACAATTGCTGATTTTTGTTTGTGTATTTGTTTGTTGTTTGTTTGTTTTTGGTTTTGTTTTTGTTTTTTGTAGAGGCTTTTGCTATAGAGCGCATGTGCTTCCCAGACAGACAGAGAGAGACAGAGAGACAGAAAGCGAGATATCACCCCCCAGGGGGGATGGCCACGCCGCAATCCCTTCTCCTCCATTCTCCTCTTGGGATCTTGGGCACGCATGCACACGCGCCCAGCGTGAGTTTTAAGCCACCGGGCCCCAGACTCAAACCGCATTCGACTACATGGGAGTCCAGCGACATAACCATTATGCTAACTGCTGGTCCCTGTTTGTTTTTGAGAAGTTTCTGCTGTAGGGTACGTGCGCTCGCCAGAAAGAGACAGACAGAGAGACAGAAAGTGAGAAATTACTCCTCGGGGGGATGGCCATGCTGCAATCCCTTCTACTCCATTCTCCTCTCAGGATCTTGGGCACACATGCACACAGCCTGGCATGAGTTTAAGCCACCAGGTCCAGGACTAGAACCGCGGTCAACTACATGGGAGTCAGCAACCAGCGACATAGCTATTATGCCAACTGCTGGTCCCAACAAAGGCTGATTTTTTAATTGTCTCCACAATTTTGCCTTTTCCAGAATGTCACATAATTGGAATTTTGGAGTGTGTAGCATTTTCTAATTGGTTTCTTTCACTTACCAATGTGCATTTAGTTTTTTCATGTATTTCCATGGATTGATAGCTAATTTATTTTTAGTGCTGAGCAATATTTTATTATCTACTATACCATTATTTTACCCATTCACCTATTGAAGGACATTTTAATTGCTTCCAAGTTTTGGCAATTACAAGTTAAATTTCTATAACCATCATGTGCAGGTTTTTGTGTAGATGTGCGGTTTCATCTCACTTTTAGGTATATACCAAAAAGTGCAACTGCTTGATTGTATGAGTATATTTAGTTTTCTCATAAACTACTATACTGTATTCAAGAATTGGCTATATGCTATTTTTCATTCCCACCAGCAATAAATGAGAGTTTCTGCTGTTCTGCATCCTTACCAGCATTAAATGTTGTCAGTGTTTTAGATTTTAGGCATTCTGATAATTGTGTCATGGCATCTCACCTACATATATTTGTCAGCATATCTTTTATTCCTTAAAACTTTGAAGGCATAGGTGTTTCATAACTGATTTTTTATAATTGCTGTATCTATATTGTGAGAAAATGCATCTCAAGGATCTGTCTCTACTCTTGTTCTAATTCTTATTTATTGTGCCTTCTTTCTTAGTGTGCTTGCTTATTTTTTAATGTGTACAATTCATGATTCTTGAAATATCATTTGTGGAAATTTTTTTTTCAGAGATTTTCACTGTAGGGCGCCTGCGCTCGCCAGACAGAGAGAGACATAGAGACAGAAAGCGAGAAATCACCCCCCAGGGGGGATGGTCACGCCGCAATCCCTTCTCCTCCATTCTCCTCTCGGGATCTTGGGCACGCACGCACACGCACCCGGTGTGAGTTTTAAGCCACCGGGTCTGGGACACGAACCACGGTCGACTACGTGGGAGTCCAGCGACATAGCCATTACGCTAACTGCTGGTTCCCTGTGGAAATATTTTTAAGTCCAAGATGAAGGTGCCTTTCTCCCAGAGAGGATTTATATTTGCTTCTGCAGATGTTTGAGAGCAAGCTAAACTAAATTCATAGTTTTCATTCTTTTGGCTTCTTATATAATATCATTTGGAGTTGTAAATACATGAGTCTGCTTATGTTGCCCTTCAGAGATTGTTTCCCCCCACCTATTGTGCTGCCTTCTATTCAACAGTAAGGTAACTTCCTTAGCAGTCCCCTGGAGATGTGAGTGGGAGTGGGTTTAATTCTGATTTGCCCTTAGTCTAAGAGGCAAGGTCTAAGAGATTTGATGTCTGTTTTAATGACCTAGTGAAGTCCATCATAACTAGAGTAAACATTTTTCTAAATTTATAAATACCTCCCAGATAAAAGCGTGTGTGCATCTCTGCATACATCTCTGGGACCAAACCATTCTTTAGATTTTGGCTTAGCAATACCTTTACTTTGAATTAAATGGCTATTATTCACTTTCTTTATTTTATTTTATTTCATTGTTTTTTACATTTAATCACTGTACATCTTTACAGTGTACAAAATGAATCTTCCCAGCATGGATACACTTCATATCAGGCTAGTCAAAGGCATTACCATATACATATCATTAAATTTTTGTGAAAGTTTGTGGTTTGCATCTCGATCCATATTTTGGCATGTGGATATTCAGTTGTTCCAGCACCGTTTGTAGAAAAGACTGTCATTTTTGTTAACATTCTAGTTTACCCCTTATACTAAAGTGAAAAATCAGTTATTGTTTTAAAGAGTTAGTTAATTTATTATTTCCGGAAAAAAAAATTATGTATGTTTTCCAACATTTTCGGTTGTTCTAAGCAGGGAAACTCTGTAGCATTCTAAGAGAGCAGTTCTTTAAACATTTTTCTCAGGTTCATATCTTCTTGTGTGTGAAATGAAAGCCATTGTGGCTATCTTAATGACATCAGTAAAATATGGAAAGGTCTTCCTTATGGCTTTTCTGAAATAGATTAATGTTTCTCTTTCCAGGCCAAAGAGGCAATGAAAGAAGCTGAACAACATGATCCTGCAAATGTTTTCACTCAATTTTATGTATTCAAGATTGCAATCTTAGAAGGCAACTCTGACAAAGGTATAATGTTATTTATGAATTATATTTGACTGTTAACACAGAGAATAATTATTTTTTTTGGACTACACTAGAAAGAAAGCCAATTTTTAAGACAATGAAACCGAATGCATGTTATATCATGTCTATGCAAAGATGATACAACAGTGCAAAAAGAAACTGTGGAAGAATTCTTTAAAAAGGTAAAAAACTAGTCCAGTGCCATAGCCTAGTACTTAAGGGAGTGCCATAGCCTAGTACTTAAGGGAACTGGATCCCACATGGTTGACCATGGTTCAAATCCAAGTTCTGGCAACTTAAAAAGCACCAGGTGTGTATGGTATTCCACTAATCCTGACAGAATGGAGAAATGAAAGAGAAAGGATTGTGATGTTGGGGTGCTTTCTCCCTCCATCTCTATCTCTGGCAAACATATGCACTCTGGCAATTTTAAAAAGTAAGATGGGACCAGCAGTTAGCATAATGGCTATGTTGCTGGACTCCCACGTAGTAGACTGTGGTTTGTGTCCCGAACCCCGTGGCTTAAAACTCACGCCGGGCGCGTGTGTGTGCGTGCCCAAGATCCCGAGAGGAGAA